TATATATATATATCTATATTTATATACGGCCTATATTCCTATAATCTATAGACTTTCAAAAACCGAATTCCTTTGATTTCGATGAAATTTATGAGTGAAATCTATGTATTTACGCATACTTTTTAGTGTACATATATTGTAATCTTATTTAGCGAAGCAAAGATTTAATACATAAAACATCACAGAGAAAACTGTAACCTTTTTCCCATAATATACTTTTAAAATTATTAAAATCGATAATTTCATGATTAAACATTTACTATTTGTTTTACTAGTTTATATTAAAAAATCATTTCTTCATAAAAGTCGCCAAAAATCTCTTTAAAATCTTTTATTTAAAATTGAAATGAAGTCTGTTGTAAAGTTTCATCGAAATCGGAGGATTGGTTTTCGGAAATTTATTAAAAATATATTTAATAGGATAATATTTAAAGTTTATAATTCGAGTGAAGTTTATAACGAAGTTTATAACATACGCGCAATGACGTGTTATTCTGCAATGTTGCGAGGAGTCGCGGGGTGGACATTTCCATTTTGTAAAGGGCCACGGTAGGTACACCAGGTCCAAGGCACTCGAGAATGAAATATTCAAAATCCGCGGATGGGAAGATCGCATTATGATATTGACAAGGTGGGTCACCGCTTTCTAAAAATACAGACCGCATGAGGCCGAGTATCTAATAAAAAACGTATATTGAACGAATGACAATTAAGCACTTGGCCGTCTCAGAAAGTCCTCAGAAAGTCAGTTCTATAAAAATTGTACCTTACTCAAGCCAAATCATATGTGTATAAACCTCGAACAAAAAATTGTTGTATATTAAATTAAAAAATAAAACTTAGGTGATAATATTTTTATTAAAGTAAAACCTAAGGTACCTTTGTTATAATTGGCGCGAAGTTACAGCCCTGTTGCTCATTCAAATGATATACAAATACTCAAAGACATAGAGAATGGACTGCGCGATCCGTATCCTAATAGTATTCAAATGTGGTCGACAATAACAAGAAAGAAGGATCATGGAAGACAGCCAATCTCTCATTCTCTCTTCTATTATACCATTGAAAGAGATAGAGATTGGCCGTCTTCCATAGTCTCTCTCTCTCTCTCTCTCTCTCTCTCTCTCTCTCTCTCTCTCCCTCCCTCTCTCTCTTATTTTTTTTATCAATCATGGATTTCGTAGTCCATTCTTTATGTCTTTGCAAATACTCGATATCAATCATCTAGACACTCAGTTCCTCAATAGCGAACACGTAAACAACACCTAAACACTTAATTCCTCGACAGCGAACATCTATAAATCTAGACACTCACTTCTTCAGCGACGATCTCGATATTTCATTTTGAATAATTCGCGCCGCGCGCGTCACAGCCGTCACGTGCAACGCTGGTCTGCGCTGGTTAGATCGATAGATGATATAAAGTCAAAAGCCATCTATTATTGAAAAAACGAACCGTACATTTCTCCTCTGGTCGACGAACATGTCAGTAACGACGTATCTTAAAATCAGGAGATAAATTTTGACACATTGGCTGAGTTCAGCAGAAAAAACAGCTTTGCAACTGTTGTACGATTTTTAAGTATGATTGGTCTTGCCCTCAGTTCCTCACTGAATCTAAATGTATAAACCAATCATAATCAATTCAAGAATTTTACAATAGTCGCAAAGCTGCTTTTTTTTTATTGAACGCAGCCATTCAGATTTGCTCTCGTAATATCTTCGCTCGTAGAGCACGTAGAGAAAAAATAAAAACATTATATATTCCGAGTAGAAACAATCGATTAAGCATACTTAGAATTTGATCGGTTCAGCTCTTAAGCTCTTTATTGATATCCGATAATCTGTCCCCTGCAATTTGCCAGTTTGCGTAATTAAGGAGCATAGTCGGTCTCGCTTTGTGTTGTAAAATGTAATCAAAGTAATCAAGTAACGCAAAGCGAGGGGAATGTTACACTTAAATAAAGCGTTTCTAAATACATCTGTTTTTTTAACATTTGACAAACGAGTAGTGCCTTTGACAAATGAAATAATTTTCAAGCGCTGTGAGCGTGAATCAGACCGCGACGTTAGTAAACTTGTTCTTTTTTAAATTGTACAATTTTTTAGAAAAACATATTTCTATCATATATAACAAATTTCTATTCAAGTTCCTATATTATACAAGTATTAAACTATTACTCTATTTTTATTTAAAATATATATTTCAATGAATAATAAATATTAATAGTGTTTTTATTTATTATAATACATATGTTTTTTCCTTTAGAAAATAATAAAATATTGTAAGTTTTAAACTTTTCAAATAGGAAAAAAATAATGGTGGCACTCACTTGAAACATTCCTGTTCTTTGACTTGTCCTTTTTATCCTTTGATTGATGATGTTCCTTGTTATTATCAGTTTCATGCCATTCATTTCGATTGATGAGACCATTCTGCCAATTCACAGAACTAATTCGATGTCCATTTTCGTCATCGCTTGTCATATCAGATAAGATGGTGCATGTGAGGCACATAGGAGGCCTCAAGGGCGATCCTAATCGAGGAAGAGTAGAACTTATACGATAGAGGTGTCTCTGACCCGGTCTCATAAATGGAATACCGATGAAATATCTAGTTAAAATGCAAATTGTTTACGATGTTAAATTATAGATATTAATTTTATGAATTACTTGCTCACATAGTATTATTTGTTTGGTCCCATACTAAAATCCTAACGACCTCAAATTTTCCATGCGTCAAAGGCACTACTTGTTTTCGAAGCACACTTGCCCAAATTATATGCTTGAAATATCCTGTCGGTCCATCTTTCACTGGAGTTATTGTGATGTAACTACTACCATTTGTTGAAAAGAGAGGGGCTTCTGGTGGAGTATCCACCCATCCATGATTATTCTCATTTGATATTCTTTGTATTTCCTAAAATAATTAATTCATAATTTTAATAAATCTTAATTAAATATATTTTTTTTAAATCTATATTAGACTTATAAAAAATACATAAGTTTATTATTTAATATTTACATAATATATTATCTAATATACATGCAAAAATAAAAGATTATCAAAGAGACATAAAATTTAAAACTTAGAAAATACTAATGAAAATGTAGTATATAAAAAATGAAAATAAGTCAAATATAAATTTGAAGAGAGTGCAGGAATTATTATGGCTATTCATTAATATACAGATATTTAATACGAGATATGTTTAAAAAAAAAAGGTGACTTTTTATTTTTCTCAAAAAATATTTATTTATTCATCACTATCTATTTTGTCCCCTTCAAAGTAATCCCCCTCAGATTATACTTGTACTTATTATACACTTGTACCAGCGCTTTTTCCAATCCTCGAAGCACTTCTGACATGCGCTTTTTGGTATGGCCTTGAGCTCTTCCAGCGATGTGGTCTTTATCTCCTCAATCGTGGCAAATCTCCATCCTTTCATGGGTCTTTTCAGTTTTGCGAACAAGAAAAAGTCGCAGGGGCCAAGTCCGATGAATACGGTGGCTGAGGCATGATTACGGTGTTGTTTTTGGCCAAAAAAATCACGAACAAGCAACGACGTGTAAGCTGGCGCATTATCGTGGTGCAATATCCATGACTGGTTGTTCCACAATTCCGGGCGTTTTTTTCGTATTGCTTCATGCAAACGGCGCATAACTTCAAGGTAATATTCCTTATTGATCGTACAACCTTGGCAAGAACTCACGATGCACCGCGCCATTGTAATCGAAGAAAACAGTGAGCAAAATCACATTTGATCTAACTTGTCGTGCTTTTTTCGGTCTTGGCTCTTCTGGCCGCTTCCATTGGGATGATTGGGCTTTGGTTTCGACGTCATAATCATATACCCATGTTTCGTCACCAGTTATGACCCTTTTGAGCAAATCTGAATCGTCGTTGACGTCATTCAACAGCTCCTGAGCGATGCTCATGCGAGTTCTTTTGGTCAAAATTTAGCAATTTCGGAACAAACTTCGCTGCCACACGTTTCATGTCTAAAAGATCCGAAAAAATTGCATGGCGTGAGCCAACCGATATGCCGACATCCTCAGCAATTTCTCTAATAGTGATTCGACGATTCTCCATAACAATTTTCTTCACTTCTTCAACGTTTTCATCGGTTGTTGACGTGCTGGGGCGACCAGGGCGGGCATCGTCATTAACATCTTCTCGGCGTTCTGTGAAGAGCTTGTACCACTTATAAACATTTTTTTTGCTCAAAGTAGACTCGCCAAATGCCGCAGTTAACATTTTAAGTACGTTAGAGCACTTCATTTTATTTTTCACACAAAATTTAATACAGATTCTTTGATCCATTTTTTTCGATAGCAAAAAATCGCCAAGTATACCAAACATGTCTAACCTTTATATCTGTGAAAAACAAACTAACATGCAAAACAGTTGATAATCTCAACATGTGTTGGGGACATGTGTACCAACATAATAAAAAAAAATTCGAAAATCGAATGTACGTAACCCGCGAAATTTGAAAAGTCACCTTTTTTTTGAACATACCTCGTATAGATACTTATATTTAATTGCACGTATTTTAGAAAGAAAACGACATTAACTAACCTGACAGTGCCACATTGGACTTTTACAAATGGTAATTACTGAAAAATTTTGGACGCGTGTCAACCATGTTATGCAGACTTCTGTCAGAGATACCCAAGAAGCAGTTGAGAAATAATGATCCCTGACAAAAAAGACAGAAACGCATTCGAAAAATAATGTCAATGATGTATAAATGATAGATAAAATGCACATACACTATGTGATAAGTTTTAAAACAAAAATTATACATAAGTTCAATTTTTGTCAAGAATTTATTCAAAAAAACAATAAAGGATGTGATAAATATAATTTATTATTTTATCTTTTTGATTAACATTCGGAGAACAATAATTACTATTTCATTTATATTTGTGTTCATATATCATAAATTTTTTTAAAACAATTATTAATATTCTAAAACCGATAATTAATAATCAGTAACTTTGCGATCAGTAACTGTTGCGTATTAAATTGCAAAATGATAAAATCGTGTAACATAAGGAATATTTATTCTGAATGAAATTAATAAACTTACGTATGCTCGATGACTGATGGTGGTTTCACTATCTTCGTACGAATATTTTTCGGCTCAACTAAATCAGCGACATACAATCGTACAGAAGGATTTGGTGTTCCTGGCTAGTAAATAAAACACTTCTAAAGTATAGTGTTCTTTTCTTCTTTTATCTTGTTGATAAAACATAAATGATATATAAAAAAATTCTAATTTTAGTAAAATACTACAAAATTTGTTTAAATTGTGTACCTTAGGATACCGTAGAGATCGTATATCAGGATATAAAGCTTTATTTCCCTCTCCAAACCATGAAATGTGCATCTCTTCTACAAGAGAATCATTGAATGAGGCATAAAGCATCATATGGCCATCTGGCGACATCCATATTGCCTCTGCACTGTGCAATATTTCCTCTGTAAATAATAATTAAATAATAAATAATTTATTTATACTTTATTAACTCTATCGGCAATGTTGTCCTTTTAAGACTTAGCTTAATTTTTTAAGAAAATGGATAATAATACTTTATCTTTTTATTTTTTTTCCGTTAGTGTATGTTGTTGACTACCACATAAAAGTTAAAAATTGATAAGTATCTTACCTTCATATAACCAATCTGGTACACCATTGGATAATATACCAGGCACTGCAGTATTCGTTACACGATATGCAGTATTGCTCGTGGGACTTGTTGTGTAATAAATATCATAGTCCTGTACCATAACGAGTCCATGTCCACGTGGAGTCCATTGCGCTAATAGAAGATATGGATGACTCTCTTTCTCAGGATAAGGTGTTAATGCTACGCACTCTCTGTGAAATTATTCGTAAAAATTTCTACATTTGTAATATAATCAATGTCTATTTGTGCATATGAATTATACTGACCGTGAATTAACATCATAAACAATATATTGCGCTAAGTATGAATGGCGAAATAGTTTCTTCACATTTTGTGCAAGAAGCAAAAATTGATGATCTGGCGATAAAGAGAATTTTACTGGATTCAATCGTCTCTACATAAAAAATGTTAAAAAATGTTAAATGTTAGTTCATGTCTTAGCAGTAAACTTATAATAATATATTAAATTTAAATTTTTATGATACATTTTTTTAAATAAAAACTTACGAATGTCTCATTTGGCATTAAACTGCGTGATACGATATTCGAGACATTTAACAGAGAAATGCCACCCCAAATATCTCGATAACAAATGTGGCGATTACTCGCCCAGGATCCATTGAATAATAAAGGAGATAATTCGCCAGAGAGTACCTGAAATACAGTAAAATATCTTGGAACCATTCCTACTTATTCCAATTTTTAAAAGATGTGAAACGTTAATTAAGATAAATGTTGAATACATTTTTGATCTATCTGTAAATATATATACTATAGATGTGTCTGAGAGAGAGAGAGAGAGAGAGAGAGAGAGAGAGAGAGAGAGAGAGAGAGAGAAGAAAAGGAAGAGGAGAAATAAGAGATGGGGAGAGATGGAGAGAGAAAAGAGATTGAAAGAGAACGAGAATGAGACAGAGAAGTAGAAAAAAGAAAGAGATAGACAGCACGTTATAAGCTCTAAAATTTTTATAAGCTTTTAAAATATTTAAAAAAGCAATTTATTAATAAAAGAAATTATTGATATATAATAATTTAATTAATTAATTAATTACATTAATTAATTAATTAATAACATAATTAAAATCCCCCTCTCCCTCTGAAAGAAGTCCTAGATATACCTATATTTGTCATTTTTTTTCTCGTTTTAATTACGAATATTATAATACAAATTCGTTATTATTTACCTCGGAGAGACGTAATCGTGTTCCGCGTACTCTAGGGCCATCATCGGGAGGTGTGAGCAAAGCTACGGAAGTGACAATAAGAGCTAGGACTGCGACGATCACGAGTAACGCTATTAAAATCCCACGCCAATTCCTTTGATTTGGATTGGTTGAAACTAGCTCCTATCACAAAGGTCTTTACTAACGCTAATGTCAAAAATGATCGAATTATCATATGCCATGTATTTATTATTGCTACTTTCCATAGTTTGGTGTAATATTATATGAAAAATACTGTCAATATCATTGTTAAAAATAAATCTAAAATTTTCATTTCATGATAACAATGTCATTCATTAAATATTAAAGAGTTCAGAGGAATGTATTTATCTTATCATCTGTATTTATTATTCTGTAATTTAATTTGGCATCTAGAATATAAGAACACTTTTTAAAATTTAGATAATATTAAAAATTTTGCTTTGAAAATAAAATGCTTAAATAAAAATAAATCTAAAAAACTCGATATGAATAAAAATTAAAATTAATAAAACGTTTTTAATATATTTTTATGATATTCTTTTGCGCATAGATGATAAGAAATGATTATAAAGCAATTTATATTATTAATATTAAAAGAATATTAAAAGTTATAACGACGATCACGACATAGATTGATGAAATTATATTTTTATAAATACATCCATTACATCTTCTTACGATATTTGAAGTATGTTAAAATTCTTAATACTCTTTATAATACTAATATATTGTTTGTAAGCAAAGTAGTCGATTATAGGAGCTTCATGGTGAGAGTAACTAGTCAGCTGCTATAGCTAAAATCAATAGCGAGGAAAGCGACGTACTGCGCTGTGTGCGTCAATGTGTTCAGAGAAAAATACGTATCAATGTATGACACATTCTTGAAAATAGATTCGAAACAGATTAATTTCAAATTTTAATGAAAATTCTAATTTTTTATAAGTAATCAAAACTATCGAAACGTTGAGCTTTTCGAAATTATCTTCAAATAATGTACATTCTCGAAAAAATTACCTGAGATTATTCCAGTTTTGGAATATTTTCGCGAAATTGCTGAAAATTTACTGAAATTTTATTAAAAATAAATTGTTCAGCTAATTAACATATTAAAAAAATTATTGAAATTGAACTAAAATTTTGTTGAAATTTTGTTGAAATTTCTCTGTAATTTTGCTAAATTTTTTTAACTAAAAATCATTGAAATTAAATTGAAATTTTTCTGAAATGCTGAAATTTCGTTGAAAAATGTTCCAAAACGCGAAATAATTTCAGTGAAATTTTTTCACCAAATATATAAAATGATTAAGTGCAATTAAATAAATAAAATAATAATAAATAAAATAATTTATTAGCTTTCGTTTCAACAAGAATATATTATTGAACAAGCATCTTAAACAAAAAATTTCTTGGTAATTATTTTTGTTAATGTAATATTTGTAATACATAATGTAATATTTGTATACATTAATTAAAGAATTTTATAATTAACATGGTATAATATTTTTATTAAAACGAAAAAAATAACTTATTCAAAAACACACAGTCTTTAAATAGTATAATAATGATTTTATAAACGATTCTAAGAAGCATTCATGCTAACAATTGCTATTTTATAAATTTAAAAAAAAGTTTAAAAATTTTATTTATTTATGAGTAATTTGAATGTTTTATTTTATCATCATATATATTAATTATATATTTTTTGCATATCCGCATTCCAAGTTTCATAATAATATTGACTTATAAATAAAATATATCATTATTGTTTATAAAAAGATAAGATTTTTTTAAGGAAAATTATAATTTGTCACATCATAAATTAATATTGGATATTAAAAAATAAACAAAACGAATTTTTTTGCACAGAATTACTCAACTTTATAAAAAAATTCAGATATAATGTATGATAGCAAGTTAAAAAGATAATTTAATTAATTACCTCATCATCATAAATATTGTCGTGATCTGCCATCGGTGGTGCAAATCGAACACTCCGCGGCTTTCCTTTTACCTGAGATGTGAAACGACGCAATCCTTTGCGTTTATCCCATTCGACATTGGTAGTAATTTCCACAATCGAAATTTATTTGCTTCACAATTTTGAATTTATAACACGATCTCTTTGTTTGATAGCTATAAATGTCTCATAGCTATACTTGCACCGTGCGAATTTTCGATACTGAGCGACAAATCATCCCTTCCGAGAGATGCTGCAGATGTAGAGTTTGCGCATTCGATAGTGGATGCTGCGCTATACAGAGACAAGTAGAAAGGGAAGTATAGAGAAAGGAAGGGAGGAAAAAGAGAGAGGAAGGAAAAAGGATAAAAAAAAACCAATATATAAAAATATTCCTGCTCATAACTTAAGAGATAGAGAACTGATATACAACATAAAATGTAACACTTTCTATCATCGATCAAAATGTTGACATATTAATTTGTTACTTTATATAATTAATACATACGGAAACACGACAAAAGAAAATGAAGCAGAAACTAGAATTATTTGATAAATCCCCAGAACTAAGCATATATCTCAACAATATCGCGCAAATCTATAATGCTGCAGGTAATACGTACTTAATTACTGTATATTTGTTTTCAACGATTTCAAATATACCGATATTATAACCACACGCATAGGCAACAATACCTATGTAGTGCGCGCGCGCGCGCGCGCGCGCGCGTGTATATGATGTTCTAAATTTAAATGACTAAATTTCAGGAGCGTGTAGGAAATCGATTAAAAAACTAAGAAAAAAGTTTTTCAAAGATGTATATGATATACATGTTTCGTTTTTACTCTGTTTTTGGAGAAAATCGCAAAAAGGGATAAAAGATAATTTTCGGAATATTATTGTTTTTTCGTATATTATTTCAATGATAATGAATAAGCGTGGCCCAATGTTTTGTTAAGGGTGATTCAAGAGAGAGCATTCCAAATGTATCCTTATCGTTTTTTAATCTGTACTCAGCTATAATTGCACATGCACAATTAGAAAAGGATGAAGATACCACTTGAAATGCTTTTTGAAACGTTCAGATCGCCAAATTAGCGCCAACACTTGTTTTAGTAGTATTATATGTTTCAATGAGCCTCTCTTAAGTTTCTCTCTGTTATTGTTTATCAAACGTTAAACAAGAATGACATGAGAACACTTGAGAAGCATTCAAATGAGAACATTCTTTATCTGGGGGAATTTCAAATTCAATCTAGGGTGAAGATATGAGTGAAGCAATGAGTTGGCAATACTGGGCATAATAAGTCATAATAACCTGTCTAATCTATTAATCTCCGGTTTCTTGTTTACTTGACATTTTTATAAGGTGCGAGAGTGAATTATTGAAAGAAGCTTTGTTTATTTTCTTTATTTCCGATCTATTATGTATTATGACATAGAGTAAATCACACAAGTACAATATTTCAGATAGTAATAAATTTTAATCAATTATTTGTATGTGAGAATCAAGAGATCAAACGAAATGTCGACATCTGAATCATTAGCGATAGTGCAATCCAAGTTCGTGTCAGGCGAGACTGTTTTGACTGTATCCTTTCTTAAACTTAATAAATAATAGATATATTGTATCATTACGATCAATAGCAATTTTCTATTGAATGGCAACTTTACTTTTAATCACGTATTATTTGGTTAAAGATTACTTTATCCTGATTCGATATTACTATTATGAATTACAATTATATTTGTACAAATATAAGTATATAATATTATTCTATATATCTTAACTGCATAACATTAGACCACAGAAGCATCATTAATACAAGGATGGATACAATCTTCAAGATATATTGCTCTTGTTTACAAAGGTACAACCCACGCTTTAGCAATTTTTTTAACTTCAAAAATACCACCACAAGTGTACAGTGATCTGACCTTGGAAGGAATGTTACCTATTGATCAGGACTTCAAATGTAGTATAGGTATTTCAAGCTTTTCTATGTATTATGTACTAATTCTATATGATAAATTAATCTTTAGGAGCTATGAGATGGTCCTATTTTAAAAATTTTTCCTTTGAGATTTATTATAATTTATATTGTATTTATTATAATGCATATTCCTTGCTTCAAAATATGATACTTTTTTAGTATCATTATAATGACTGAAATATAAAAATTAATAATTTTAATAATTATTAAGTAGTTTAATTAATTTAAGAACTGCATTGCTTCTTTGCTTTAAAAGTAATACAATTAAAAAAAATTAAATTTTCTAAAAAAAATTATTAAATATTTTTTTATTGAAGTGTTTTTTTTTTTAATTAAAGATACTAATGGAGAAACACAGGATGGCCTTGATATATACATGAATGTTACATCAAGAAAACTTCGCCTGATATTTGAAATGAAACTTGGAGAATCTACCAGTTCCTTAGTATCACAAATATTTCGAGCGATAGAAAGTATGTGCATACTTATCTAACATAATTTTCATGTAGAAGACATTTATTTATCAACATTTATCTATCAACAGAATAATTGTGATTTTAGTATATCAAACAGCTAAAAGCCCTGCAGAAGAATTTTTATGGATTGAAAAACTAACAAGAAATAGGAGAAACTTGGCTACTGGTGGCAAAGATATGCAGGATACTGCCGATTCTGTAAGTTAGTATAATAATACTTAATATTATAGAAATTTAAAATAGGAATGATGGAACGTGTTTTTATAAAAATTTATTTTTTATAGTTGCTCAATCTTGAGAGTCATGATTTAGCAATACCACGACAAAGCATTGCCTCGGGTAGATCCCCAGTAGCTGCAAGAGAATCAGTAGTACGATATCAGATGGCTTGCAAAGAAGATGATTACACATATAGTAAAACATTTCGGTTTGTTGTTTCACAATATTATGATTATATATCCTTTGTTTCACTTCAGTTTAAAAGTATTTTTGTGCACATGATGATCATACATGTAACATGATTATTATCAATAATTAATTATTATCAATAATTAATACAGTATACTTACTTGCACGTGGAATGTAAATGGACAACCCCCAAATAACATTAAATTAAATGAATGGTTGAGCACGGACGAAATGCCACCAGATATATATGCTATCGGATTCCAGGAATTAGATTTGAGCAAAGAAGCATTTCTATTTCATGAAACTCCTAGAGAAGAAGAATGGAGGTATATGTCATTTGTATCATTTGAAAAAGTAAAATAGTGTGTCCATTTTGCTTATCTCAAATAACTTTTTTAAATAATTAATCATAATGAAAAATTATTCATAATTACATAAAAAAAATTTTATTATAGACAAGTTATAGTTAATTCACTTCATCCAGGAGGGAATTATACACAAGTAGCTCTTGTCAGATTAGTGGGTATGATGTTGTTAGTATATGCACTTGAAGCTCATATACCATTTATCGAAAATGTGTGTACTGATACAGTAGGAACGGGAATTATGGGAAAGTTGGTAAGTTTCTAATACACAAAATATTTTACATATATCAAGATATTATACATGACGTTTCAAAATTCGCAACTCAAAATATTATAATACATTATACAAATCAAAAATTTGTTGGATTTTGAATTGTCTTGAATAAATAATTGTAAAATTTAAAATTTTTACTTCTCACATTAGGCCTCTGGCCTGTGTTACATTTCTCTCATATGCTTGTGGTGCGCACGCTGATTTTTCAATTGCCACAAGCATGTGGGAACTATAGTTTCAATATCGGTTTCGAATAGCAGATTTTGTAAGAGGTGTTTCTGTGGGCATTCTCGGAAGGTTGCCTTTTCTGAGAGGAGACACAAGCGTAAATATTTTGGTTCCTACTGGGATTGAACTCGAACCCTTGGTATGAGAGATCAGTGCGCTGCCATGCTCGCGTTCAAAAATTTTTACTTCAGATTCGATTCATTACTTAATATGAAGTTATAAAGAAATCAGAATGCAATATACTTTTTTATTTTTTAAAGAGTGTTACATAAATATATAAAAACACTGTGCTTCAAAGATTAATACTTTATTGCAAATTCTTATAGGGCAATAAAGGTGGTGTTGCAGTCAGTTGTTGTATTCACAATACGGCTGTTTGCTTTGTTAATGCTCATTTAGCTGCACATTGTGAAGAATTTGAGCGACGCAACCAGGATTATGCTGATATTTGTGCGAGATTATCTTTTACGAAATATGTACCACCTAAAAGTTTCAAGGATCACGAGTAAGTTTTCTATGATATGGATTATTCCCTGATTATATATAGCGCTCGTATGCAAATAAAGACTAAACTGAATCAAAAAGTCTAATCATTTTATAATTTTTGCAATAGTTAATAAGAAATTAATTATTAAAAATTAAATAGTCTAACCTATTATTAAATCTAAGTGCGTGTCGAGACACGGCCGTCCACTTTATTATATTATTAAGTAAAATCTGTATTTTATAATTTTAAATATTTATATTTTGTATACGGATTAAATTAGTATAATAACTTTAACATGCATTAGTTCAAACTAATGTGTTCAACTGAATTCGCTATTAATTTTTTGAGTTATATCATAGTGAAGCAAGGAAGCAATATAAGTATATGTATACATATATGAACATATGTGTATGTGTATAGCCAGATTTATTGGTTGGGAGATTTAAATTATCGGATAACGGAAATGGATGCTGCAACAGCTAAGCAGTATATTTCAGAAGGCATCTATGGTCCCGTCTTAGCATTGGATCAACTTGGACACCAACGCAAAGCAGGACGTGTGTTTCAAGGATTTCAGGAAGCAGAAATTGATTTTAAACCCACATATAAATACGATCCAGGTACCGACAACTGGGATTCAAGGTATCCTAAAAATTATATTTCTAAAATGCAATTTACATTTATTAAGTAAATTTCAATCTAATATTTTTATATAATTTTTTTTTGTCTAATGATGTATAGCGAGAAATGTAGAGCTCCAGCTTGGTGTGATCGAGTACTATGGAAAGGAGATATGATTAAATCAATTTACTACAAAAGTCATCCAGAACTAAAGATATCTGACCACAAGCCAGTTAGTGCAAGTTTTGATTCTCAAGTAAGTATGTATAGATGTGCAAATATGCACTTTCTGTTTCTTTTTATTTATTACATACTCACTTGAAAAAAATCTTATATTATATAGCTTGTATAAATTTTCCAAAACAGATACGTATTATAGATACGGCTAAGTATCGTAAAATTCATGAGGAAGTTATGAAAAAACTAGATAAATTAGAAAATGAATTCTTACCTCAAGTGATGGTTGATACTACAGATATTATTTTTGACGTTTTGAGATTTCTTGAATCTAGCAGTAAGGAACTTATTATCGCTAATACAGGCCAGGTATGTATCAAGAAAAAAGGAGGGGATGCACACACAATCTACTTTTATTTTTTATATTTTTAAATTAGGTACCAGTGCAATTTGAATTTATAAAAAAGTTAGACGATACAAACTATTGCAAGGATTGGTTGCATATAGAACCATATACAGGCTTTATAAAACCAGGTATAAATTTATATTTTTCATATATATTTGTTCAATATCTATCTCCACACTAATATATTTTCTATTATGTGTTTCCTTTTCTTATCATGTCAGGTGAAAAGTGCGACATTAAACTGGAGGTATATGTAGACAAAAAGACTGCATGTAAATTGAATTCTGGTGAAGACAAGTTATATGATATTTTAGTATTACATCTCGAAGGAGGCAAAGATATTTTCATTACTATAACAGGTATATTACATGCACATAATAATAACAATATGCAGCAGAGCCATTTATTAGTTAATTTTTTAATTTGGAAATAATTATGTAAATAATTTCAGGCACTTATGAGAGAAGTTGTTTCGGTTCTTCCATGGAAGCATTGGTTCATGTTTCAGTTCCAATTAGAGAAATTCCTATTGGGCGATTAGTCGAATTGGTAAATATTAAAAAATTGACAAGTATAATTTTATTGCGAAAGTATTTCTTCGTAATCTAATTTGCACTTTAAAAATGCAGGAGAATAATAAAAATCTCTCACAAGAACCATATTCAGTTCCAAAAGAAATATGGCATTTAGTGGATAGATTATATCGACATGGCCTTAAAACTCCAGGACTTTTTGAAACACCAGGCCTTCATAGTGAGATAATAGCTATTCGAGATTGGTTAGATGAATGGAGTCAAGATCCAATGCGTATCTTTTTAATATTTTAAAATTCATAACAACATTAATACACTTACAAATAATAATAAAATAAAGCCCAATCTACAATTGAATCGACATAGACATAAGTGATTGTGAAATGTTATAAAGCACAGTTTTAATCTGCTATTATATACTAGTTGTAAAGCATGTTGTGAAAGATGGTTTAATTTTATGGTACACCTGTATACACACATACATGTATGCAAACACACACACATACACATATATACATACATACACATGAATATATTATCATTCCTTGACAATAATTTTTTCTTCATATAGCTGGTGGTGTACATTCGGTAGCAGAGGCATTACTACTGCTTTTAGAATCTACTGCTGAACCATTGATACCGTATAATCTACATAATGTTTGCCTATCAGCAGCAACTAATTATTTACAGTGCAAACAAGTAAATCAGAAATTAGCATTTTACTGTAATGTAATATCTTCAGATTATCATATTACTTTATTCATTTATTATAGATTATAATGCAATTACCAGAGACTAGAAGAACTGTCTTTCTCTATATCAGTTCATTCTTGCAAGAATTATTAAATCATACACAGGATAACGAACTCGATGCTAAAACACTTGGTAAACTTATTATATTCATTTCTATCTTGCTCTCTTAATTTATTATTTCTCTACCACATAAAGAGCATTAACAAAAATATTTAAAAAATATTATTTGTGTGTGCAGCGACGCTGTTTGGATCAATATTTTTAAGGTATCCACCTAGAAGCAGAGACGATCGCCATCAGAGAAATCGTGCGACTCAAATTACTTTCGATAAAAAGAAAGCTGCATTTGTTTATCATTTCTTAGTCAACGATCAAAGCGATTTTATATTAGGTCGATAATAAGCGATTTAAAGGAATACTAGCAGCACTACAAATTTCGTATTTATAGCTTTAAAACGAAAAAATAAAATCAATTAGAAATAAAGAAATTAATTAGTATTATATTGCAATTATTTTTATGTTTTTTATAATATCACAAAGACGTGTGCTTTTTGATTCATCATAATTACAGCACAATTTTGAAAATGTAATGTATAAATAAGTATCTATCTTAATTAATAAAATTTTACCTGAATATATTTAATTTCATTATTTTTAAAAAATATTTAATGTGTGCGAATTGCGATTATTAGAAATTGCTTAATTATAAAACTTAAGTTAATTTTCGTAATAATATGCACTTTAACTAAATTAAATATATAAATTTAAATAAATTTGTTACTTATAGATATGTCATTTTAAAAAAATTTATAACTTTAAAAAAATAATAAGTAATGATCATAAAGTCTTATACTTGATATTGTTTTCTTCTATTTCTTTTCAATTCATAATTATAATAAAATGATAATTAATTGTTCTGTTTAGTATAATCAGTTCTGATTTTGACGAAATTAAGTTCATTCGAATTTTTGCATGAAATGAACGAATTTGACACAAAAAAGCGTCACTCTGCCTCGTAAAGAGATATTAATTGTAAAGTTTTTTTTCGACATACTTAAACATTTAACATATCTAATCAAAGATGTGAAAAAGATGAAACGCCAATAGAAAAAATAATTAATATTAAATACAACTGTAATGCACAACTGCTAATGGAAATATACTTAATACTATAGTATATTGTCTTCTCACACATTAAAATCATTTATATGTAAAAAATAAATATAGCAAAACTAATTTTTGCGTATTCGTAATAATTTTGCAATACTTTCAGCGAAATGTTAAAGAATATTCAATATATTTTTAAAGAAATATAAAATTTTCGATGAAATTTTATTTTTTATGAAATTATATTTTAATTTCAGTAATTCTCATTAATTTAGCTGAAAAAAATCACTTCACCGAAATTTCAAACAAATTTTAGCAAATTTTAATGACATTTTCAAAAACCTTGCGAAAGAATTTTAGTTCAATTTCGGTGATTATTCAATATTTTTGTTGAAAAACTCACTTTCATCAAAATTTCTATAAAATTTCAGCGGAATTTTCCCACGGACAAGAGGATGGTATTCGAAGAAAAAAGAGAGATGGCAACCTTAAGGTGTCTATTGATGAACGCAATATATTAGAAGGAACTAAATTCTAGAAGCTTCTAAATCGCAAAAGTGGTTATTTGAACAAAATTTTGAATTTGTTGAGCTTAGTACCTTAATCTGTAAGAATTGACCAATCACAGTCGCGAATTCCCCTCTTATTCGACTATAAGAGGGGAATACTCAACTGTGATTAGTCAATTCGTACGGATTATGACATATGAATACGGCCAATATAAACGCTCCTTAAAGATAATTAGCTTATTGTAGAAATAGAAAGGCCATCATCCTTGCTTGGGGATACTTGTAGAACGGTTGAACGTGATTAAATGTTGAACGTAACTTGATCTTATTATTTTCAATTTTTCAACGATTTTTATTGGATAATTGTAAACAGGACCCTTTTTCTTTCTTTCTTTTTTATTTTTAACAGCAACGATAAGTTATTTGAATTCTTCGACAAAGAAAGACGAGTGACACAGGCATATGCAGGAGAATTTGCAATTTGAAGAGATAATTATTGCGCCGTCTAATTTGTAAAGGTACGGTTAAAATTAATTTATTATAATTTATATACAATTACATAGATATCTGATACTTATTTTCATCTAACCGTTATGAAAACTAAATTAAAAATAACAACAATCATGTTTTCATGTGTTAATCATAGTCACTCAAATTTTTTTCGAATATGTGAATTATGAATTTTGATGAGGTAAACTGTACAGACATACATATATATATATTCTATTAGATTCATGATTAAATAGCTTATTTCTCAGTATTCGCATGTAATTATAAAAATTAATTTAAAATTAGTTTATCACAATTATATTTTCATACATTTATCATTACAATTTCACTCAAATTTGTTTCGAATAAATACATATGAATTTTGAAGGTTAATTATAGACGCATTCTATCAAGCTTGGTCTAATTGTAGATTATTTCTCACATATTCTAACTAATCGTTATTATTACTAATATTTTTTTAATTTGAATTTTTTATTAAACATTTACGCAGGAGTACCTATAGATTGAGATAAATCAAGCAGTATAAAAAATATTAAGTACGTTAAAGAACAATGCCTTCTCGAGAGGATAACAGTCATGGACGCAAAGCAAATTTTAAATTTAATAACAAACATGAAGTAAGTATAATTAAAATTATTTTCTAATTTAACAGCTGCTACATATTAAAGAAATTTTTTTATCTGAATATAAATAATACATAATCTAGCAATATAAGTACATACATCCACTGAGGTCCATATTCAAGGTCGAAATATTCGATTATTTTAATTATGTTTATTTTTAATAATTAGTGAAAATCAATCTGCTTTTGATTCTTTTAAAAAAAATTTTCTATATTTGGAAATATAAATTTTTTATATATTTTTATACATGTTTATATATATGACCTGTTGTAGTTTTATATAGAAATTTATACAATCGTTATAAAGCATCTATTTACTTAGCTTTTCTTATATAATTGCATATAAAAAGTTGGATTATTTCAATACTTATATGACACAAAAATTTAATGTTGTTACGTTTGTGACCTTATTGCATTATTATTGGTATATTGTGATGTTACTGCAATACTGCTAGAATTAATTATTCCAGCATGCTGTATAGGATATAAGATACATTTAAAACATTTTCAAAAAAATTATATGATATCAAGAGAGACATAAGAAATATAAGATTATGTGTATATTATTTTAAATTTTATACATTGTACAATTTATATGTGTAATTTTAAAACAATACGTTAATATTTTGCTATTCAAATTTGCTCTGATATAATCAAACTACAAATAATCTACAAATAATCTGTGTAAACGTTTACAAACATTCCTTTAGTACATGTGTATCTCTCTTAGGAAGCTCGAATAAGAAGGAATGCACTATCAGTGGAGTTACGTAGAGCCAAGAAGGATGATCAATTATCAAAACGACGTAATCTTGATACATCAAATCAAGAACTGTCAGATTTATCGAATAAAGCCACTGTTTCACCCACTCCTACTCTTTCTATAAATGAAATTGTAAACCATATAAACTCATCAGATGAGACATTACAATTGTCGGCAATTCAGACTTGCAGAAAATTATTAAGTCGAGAAAAAAATCCTCCTATAAATGATATAATAGAAGGTGGCATAGTACCACGTTGCATTGAGCTCTTAGATAACGATTATAAGTATGTATATGAATATTGAAAGTGATTTATTGATTTAAGTAAATTATTTCTTCATATATTTAAGAAACAAGATATAATTTATTTATTTCTATTTAGCATTGCTTTGCAATTTGAAGTAGCATGGGTATTAACTAACATAGCCTCTGGTACATCCTTACAAACACAAAATGTTGTAAAATATGGAGCAATACCAAAATTAGTGAAACTACTTAAATCTACATCACCCGTTGTTGCGGAACAAGCAGTGTGGGCCTTAGGAAATATAGCCGGAGATGGACCGTATGCACGTGATCTTGTTCTTGGACATGATGCTCTACCTCTTTTGCTGGATTTAATTAAACCTGACACTTCAGTAAGTGACTTCGTATTTGACAATCTTTGATTATGTTTGTCTTGTTTGCTTATTGTCGATATTAATATTCAAAAATTTTGTTAATATCAGAAACATACAAATGTTAAATCCTGCGATTAATGAAAGAAATATTAGGAGCAAGAGTATTAAATATTAGGGACTTAAAAAAGTAAAATGAAATAAAATATTATAAATAGAAATAAATATTAAATATATTAGAGAAATAAAAGTAGAAATAGATTTAAATGTAACACACAATGAATACAAGTAAGATACAAGATATTATGTGTTAAGGAATAGAAATAGAATATATGCATTCCCGTATGTTGGATTTCTCTGGTTCTATCGTTATCGCTATTTCTATCGCTATCACTGTTGCCTTCGCATTGTATTTAAGGCTTTACATTTAATCTTTATTCCTGTTTTTTTAATCTTTAATATTTATGTGCGCAGAGCCTAAGATTTGTACATTTTTTATGATAAAGTGATTAAATAATTAATGTCAGTATTTAATCATATTAAACATTGCTATCTAATTATTCTAAAAATAGATTATCTAATAGAGATACACAGTGCGTGCGTGCGTGCGTGCGTGCGTGCGTGCGTGCGTGTGTGTATGTGTGTGTGTGTGTGTGTGTGTGTGTGTGTGTGTGTGTGTGTGTGTGTGTGTGTGTGTATCACATAAAATTTGAACAAGTAGATAACATATTTTTCCGATACTAATGAAATGTGCAGATAACATTCTTGCGGAACGTTGTATGGACTTTATCTAATTTATGTCGAAATAAGAATCCACCTCCACCCTTCGAATTGATTAGACCTGTTCTACCAATATTTAATCGCCTGCTTAGTTATACAGATCGAGATGTACTTGGTAAGATGTTCATATTGTTATTTTATATATTATATAATTTACTCTAAATTTGAAATACTTACATTGCTGTTTGTCCTAGCTGATACTTGTTGGGCACTTTCTTATCTTACTGATGGATCCAACGACAAGATACAAGCAGTATTAGAAACTGGCATTATACCGAGACTTGTACAGATGTTGACTTTGCAGGAAGGAATGATTCTTACTCCAGCATTGCGTACGGTTGGAAATATAGTAACAGGTGACGATGCTCAAACGGATGCTGTAATTCTTGCGGGAGGATTGTCACATCTTGGTGCTTTGTTGCGATATCATCGCGTCAATATTGTAAAGGAAGCTGCTTGGGCAATTAGTAACATTATGGCTGGTAATACGAATCAAATCCAAAATGTGATAGA